AGAAGAGGAAGGCATCTTGTGATGCACAGTTTAAATGCCATTTTTCCACAGCTCCCGTCGAGCTGCTTGAAGGCGCAGCACCATCAGTTCGCTTCAATTATTCCCAAGGTCGTAGGGGCGTCGTCGTCGTCGTCGTCCGCAGCAGAAGAGTTGCATATCCTCCTCAGTGCTTGAGTGCGATGAATAGGCTGGATGGCTCGACCGGCTGCTGCACGAGATGACTGAATGTACCTTCGAAAATCTAGGCCAAGTCGAGGCCAAGCACAGAATAAAGTGTCGGGTTGAATTATCCTTTCTTGTTTGAGTAGATCACTCTACCACACGACAGATAGGAAAACAGGGGCCACATTATGCAACCAATACGAAACGACTTTTTCATACCAGCGTTTGATTCGAAAAACGCTTCGTTTCGATTTCTCCCAGGTTGATGTTGAATTTGGAATACGGTTTTGAATGTGGTTCAAACGTGTAAAATACGTTTTAATCATATTGACTGTAAGATCTTGTTTGTTCAATTGCAGTAAATCACAACTGCGCATGATTGGTTTGGATTTAATCAACAGAGCGTAATTTGGCAATCAAGCAAAAAAAAAACATCCAACACTGACATATGTATGTCTGAAAGCGGTATGCTTCAACCAAAGCTACTGTAGGTACATCATCAAAGAAACTGTCAACACACCAAACATAGAAAAGACGAACGACGCAAACGAGGCAAACAGAACGCGATAGAACTTACTTGAACCGAATGAATCTTTTTATCCGGACTTGGATAGCATACGTGTATGTATATTCATCGTCGTATTCGCTTTATTAGACTCTTTTGGAATGTCATCTGGTATCACTATATAAATGCGACTATGCTCGGGTCAGTTTTTCGCTTCTTCGGCAATATTTTCAGTACCAAGTTTGTGCTATTTATATACTTATTGATTAATCTATTCCATTCAACTTATTAATCTATTTCATTCAACTCATTTATAGCAAAAAAAGCGCAAGAGGTGGGATCTATACATAACATATGTCAAGTTATATATAATTGACTGGCGCAACTAATGTATGGCTATAACGCAACTACTGTTTTGAAGATGTTCTAAATGAATTCAATCCTTCCAACGAATGGCATTTGTTAATTTTTCCATTATCATTATTAGTTTTTTGTGCGAATAAAGTGTATCAACTGAGATTCCGTACTCAAAAACTTTGGTGCGGTTGAAAATTTATGGTGAATCTTTACATTCTACTTCTCAAAAACTCATTGACTCTTAGAAAAAGCTTTTTGCAATAAATTGAATTGCACAAAAATATCTGTATAAAATACCCCAATTTCGAAAGCATCTTATTTTTAGCAAAACAAATAGAATTTCAACCTTTATTTTTAATTATAATACTTCTACATAACGTGAATGAGATGATGAAAGTACAACTGCTAGTTTTTTTTTTCATTCTATATTAAAGTTATAATTCGGTATTGCAACTCTCAATTACTTGTTATAACACATTTATAACTGATTGTATTTGATGAAAACTTCCTAGCCTAAATGTTTTCTCAAACAACTCGGGAGTTCCGCAAGGCAGTAACCTAGGACCGCTACTGGTTTCGATCTTTTTAAACGACGTCGGCTTTCTGATACCATCAGGATGTCGCGTTTTCTATGCCGACGATACGAAAATCTAGAAATTTTATTAAAAGTCTCTCGGACTTCTGGGATCTCCAGAATATGTTAGGTATTTTTGCTGACTGGTGCTCAAGAAATTTTATAAGTCTAAGCATCGAAAAATGAAACATTATTTCCTATCACCGAAAAATCGAACCAATCGTGTTTGACTATGTTCTCTACGGACCCTGGTCTTGCTCGTGTAGAGCACATAAAGGAAGTCAACGTTTCCTTGGACTGCAGACTCACTTTCAGAATCCACTACAATGATACAATCTCCATAGCTAATCGACAATTGGGCTTTATTTTTGAGTTCCGTGATCCACTATGCCTCAGGCCACTCTACTGCTCGCTTGTGCGATTCTAATTGGAGTCAAGTTTAGTTGTTTGCTGCCCTTTACATGCTAGCTGGATGATTAGAATTGAATCCGTTCAACGCAAGTTTGTGAGATATGCTCTTCGTTTTCTCAACTGGCGTGTCCCAACGAACTTACCACCGTACGAGGAGCGTTGTCGTCTCCTGAGAATCGAACCATAACAGGTGAGACGGACGGTCGCTCAAGCTATGTTCGTTGGAAAGCTGCTTACGAGTGGCATTGACTGTCCAACACAGCTGGCGGCCTCTTCGTCAACGCGACTTTATGTTTTTTCGCCAGTCAATGTTTTTCGTAAGATCGTACGCAATGTCAACCGAGCGAGTAGAAGATCAACCATTGGTAATAGAAATATTGGTTGGCAAATGCTCACTACCGTAAGGATCTTGGATTACTTTCCACGAGCAATCCAACGATAGTGAACTCGAACAAAGTTAGAGGTCTAATCTGCTTACTCTTGCTGAAGGTTTGGCTACTCGTGTTGCTACCCTGGTGTTCAGAATTGTCATTTTGAAGATGTCGCACATGTCGTATATCAGGGTTAAGCGGATGTCGTCGCACAGTTCCCCCCAGCCTGTACCGTGAGAGATAAAATCTTCCAAGATCAACCGTGGCTCCAGCTAAGAATGAAACTTTTACGAGCAATCTCAGTTCTGAGGAATTTACCTCGAATGTTAACCTGAAATGCAACAACTTCAATGCCTGTTATCGAAGGTAGATCGATTCTGTAAAATGAATGGAGCTTTTTGATCCCGAGAAGCACCTCTCCATACGAATCTGTGCGGTATATCTGGCAATGCTGCATGCAAATCAACATAACAAGAGGAGGCAAGATTTGTTCGGTCCTTTTCGCAACAGAAAAAGCTTTTCGATATTATGAAATCATCAGATATGATGATATGTTGTTGAATAAAGCTACAAGAAGAGGTTTTAAAGTATGTGTTTGACACATAAAACCTATCAATGTTGCCTTCAGCGAATCATAATCAGTGATGGTCGGTGAGTAAACAACAGTAGGTTCGAGTTGTAAAGCTCTCATCTGCTTTTAGGTGATAATATTAAATTTGAAAGTCACAAGAGTAGAGGCCCGAAACGCCAAGTGAATTAGATATAATAAGATCCTTAATGCATAACTAAAGAAGTCACAGATTCAACTATTCTTATTGCAATCAGTTATGCTTAAGTACATCATTATCCCTTTCAATGAGCCTCTACATATTATCAACACTAATGACAGAACCTCTCCACGATTCGTCCCCATGCGACGCAAATGGATCCACATCGCAATGACAGCAACCCCTTCCCGAACAATAGAAAACCGATCCCTATATTATCCTTTCTAATTGAATGTGTGCTCGAGTTCGTTATCAACCTGTTCCAAAAGCCGCTCACACTTCACAGCCCTTGACGACGGCTTGCATATGAATCAGTCAAGCATTACCCATTTATTTTCCACTATGATACACCTCGAGTCGACAGTTGGTGCCAAAAGCTGCCAACGCAACCAAAAATCAACCACTGTTTCCCCTTTCCTTGAACCTCAAAAACCAAGAGGAGCGTAAATTTTCCAGGTTGGACGTCCCGTCAAACAGCAGTTGATGGGCAAATTATGCCTGCTCAGCTGTTTGAAAGTTGGAGATTATTTAGAATTCTGCACCCGGCAATATAGGCACCTAGTTGCCATCAATTTCGAGCGGATGCTGTGCTGTGAGCTGATCTAATGGCACAAGTGTCATTTGTGGTTTGGCAGTGAAGGGGCTATACTAAATCAAACGGTATAGCAGAGCGATGTGGTGCGGATTTTTTTCGTTGGCACCTTTCAATTAAACCGTCATGGAAGAGGAATACGAAGGGACCGGTTTCGGGAATGGTTAGTATTCATAGCACCGTACATCCTCTGGTTACGGTTCGCGGTATGTTACTGGCTACCGCCGCTGGGGAGTATGAGGTGGTGGAATTCCACTTTATTATTTGTACTGACTTCAATCTCCAATATCCAATCAAAAGTAGCTAAGTTGCTCGGAGCAAGGCAATAGTTTGTATTCGGTTGTTACTTTCCAGCTCAGAGAATACGTTCCAACTTTTGGATGTTGGAAGTTGCACTCTCTTTGGCCTTGAGCGACGGCATAGGAGTAAAGTATCCTGTAAGATTTGCTTCATAAAATAATCTTCGATTCCTTGCGTGTTCTCTGGAGCTGCAATCTGTTTTCTGTTCCTTCAGTTGTAGAACGCTGTTCGTGTACTACGTTTTAGTATGTTGTTACAGTACTAGACATAAGTGTAGAAGATCGATATTTTTTTCTCTGTCTCGGAAAAGTTCAAGGTGCTGTAACTTTTGTGCATGAGCATAAAAATTACTGAAATCTTGGCTGCAGGTAAAGCAAATATGCAAAATTAATCGGTGTAGTTTTGGGTCTGATAAACCAAGTCAAATACATCTTTTGTTTAGTTCCCTCTTCTTAAGTCGCTTGTTTGGTAAGGTTCAACGGTCTTAATACAACTTTACGGAGTCGGCATTCTTTAAGGACAATAGTACAATAACAATAAAATAAAGGAGAAAAATTCGAACCAGTTTCGTTATTCTGATGTTTCCTGATTGGTGAAAGATCCTTTTTCAAAACTACAACAGTTCTAAAGTTACAATTAGCTAATTTGTTTTCACCATTCAGAGTACTTTCCATTCGCAGTAAGACATGGTATAGAGAAGCTACCTCAGATAACCAAATTATTGGATGGAATCATAAAAGTTTGACATCGAATCTAAAAACCTGATGCATCGTCAACAAAATGTCAAATACATTAGCACAAAAAGAGCACGATTATGAAACTTTCCAGCATATAAATGACGTCACTGTTGAAACCTTTGCAAATGCACTATTATACCTATCACCCTTTAGATAAACATCAACTCATGTCAGACCATAGAAAAATCTCACACCTCTCATTCTTTCCCTGTATATATTTTTAGTAAAACCCGCCAATTCATGAGATGCTGTTGCAGTAATAGATCGTCATGTTCAGTTCTGTTCAACTCCTGCATACACCTTGAACCTGTAAGTGATTCTTGTTTTCAATCCATCAAAGACTTCAGAACAAACAAAAAAAAGCAAGACCAACACCGAAAACCATCATGAGAAAATAGCGAGTAGAAAAAGGCAAAGTCATCATCGATGTCGTTTCAGTGTGTTTGACCTTCATAGTCATTACAACTATCTGTTTTGTCTTCGTAGAGAAAAAAAAATAATAAGAATACAAAACCGACATGCTGCATTCTGATCATTAAAGAAAATGTTTTTCTGTTTCTTTCTTTCTTTCCTTCGTGCTTTCCCATGTTCATCTCGTTGTGAAACGTAAAACAATATAAATATAAAAAAAACAATCATCACATCCCAACAACTGCCTTGATCGTGTGTTCATCATGTTCTGCGTTCGCGTGACTTGTGTACAAACAAAACCTGTCTTTCACGCCTATCACTACTTCTACTACTACTACTACTACTACTGTCTTCGGTATTTTGAACGTACGTGTATGTGTATCTACGCTATTGTTCGTATCATGCTTGTTAACAGATTAATCAGCTGACATTAGTGCCGCAATTGTTTGAAAAGTAGCCTAGTAGTAGAGGACCGTTAATAGCGTAACCGTATTTTCAGCTCATCGCCATTCAGCATCATCATAGTCAACAGCTGTGGCTCCATCATCACAAGCCTACATAGCCACTAGAGCATCCATCTCAGATCCTTGTTAGTAACTATTGAAATTGATTCACTCACACACATAACACTGTAACTATAAGATTCGACGTATGTTATTCATTGAACAATCCTGCTCCATGTGTTTCCTCCGGACAAAAGTGTTGTTTTTAGGATTAGGATAATTATTCATGCATATGTAGTAGTTGCTGTCGTTTGTGCGTGTGAGTTTGTGTGAGATTCGAGATTTGACATATTTGATGATTACGTTTCAGTTTTGAGTTTTAAAAAATACATTATTTTAATCCAGTAACTAGTTAGTAATCATTACGCATTGTAAGTTTTATAGTGGTTTTAAAACATTCTACAAGTTTACATCATAGCTTTCATAGCTCTCATCAAACCAAAATTGTTACTTGGGACGTCGTCAGGGTTTAATAAAGTTCTTAAGTGCCCAGTTGTTTGCATTATGGTAAAAATTGGACACTAAACGACTGAATTTATTCTCTGTCGATTATGTACATACTCCTATTTTCATCCCCTCAATCGGGGGAAGGATTACCCATACAGGTAAAATGTATACAAAGTCCACTTTCCTCAAAACCGCGAATATGACTAATAGCAATCGACAATCAGTGAAAAATCATATGAAAGAAATCGTTTCAATAAAGGTAAATCAGGTTACTTATTATTTGTTGAAAGTAAGCAACTTAAGAAAAAAGGGAATCGTTGAGATCAGTTTTTAAAGGATTTTACATTGAAGCTGATACGTACGTACAATTGTACGAATATAACATCTTTTATATATTCGTTGCCAAATAGTGAATTAGTTGGACATGCCTCTCTTCAATTTGAATGAAACTTTGCATATATGTTGGTTGCCACATAAAATAACCTTTTTAAAAAGTTGCCCTTTTTCCGGAAAATAAGTCAAAGTTTTTACACCCAATTTGTGACAAATAGATTTTGCTCTGCCTGGTCTAACCACCTTGCTCGTTGTGCTCCTCTGCGTCTTGTACCGGCCGGATTCGAGGCAAACACCATTTTTGCCCGGCATTCTTACAACGTGTCCCGCCCATCGTACCCGTCCAGCTTCCGTGACTTTCTGGGTTCGCCATAGAGTTGCGCCAGCTCGTGGTTCATCCTTCTCCTCCATACACCGTTCTCGAAAAACCCCGCCAAAGAACTCGTCGTTCGAAAACACTCAGTCCTCCTCGAGCAACATCCACGTCTCGTGCCCGTAGAGATCTACTGGTCTTATCAGCGTCTTGTACATGGTATATTTAGTACGTGTGTGAAGTTTACCGACCTCCAGGTCGAATTTCTCTGCTGCAGTTGTTATCCGACATCACCAATGATCCGAGGTACACAACTTCATCCACCACCTAGAACTCATCTCCGTCAATTGTCACGCTTCTGCCTATGCGAGCCCTATCCCGCTCGGTTTCGCCAGCATACAGATATTTTGTCTTCAATGAATCCCCCTTAATCCAACCTTCTCTGCTTCACGTTTCAGCCTGGTGTATTGCTCCACTATGGCCCGAAACGTTCTTCCGACAATGTCCACGTCGTCAGCGAAGCAGAAGAACTGGCTGGACTTATTGATGATCGTGCCTCGCATGTTAAAGCCCGCACGTTTCATAACACCTTCTAGCACAATATTGGACAGAAGGCAGCAATCCGAGTAGCACACTTTCATCACAATAAGTTACAGCAATTTGTTTATGACTGAAATAAGTCGTATATAAGTTTCTACAATTGATTTGTGACAAGCGTGCTACTAGGGAAAGACCATTGCCTTGTCGAAGTCCTTTGAGAGTTTCAAATGGGTCCGATAACGCACCCGATATCTTCACGCAACACTTTACACCATCCATCGTAGCCCTGATCAGTCTGGTCAGCTTTCCGAGAAAACCGTTCTCGTCCATAATCTCTCATTGCTCTTCACGGTCAATATTATCATAAGCGCCCTTGAAATCGATGAATAGGTTTTTTTTTCCTTTGAATTGTTTTTCGTCGATCTTGTTTTCCGTGCTGAGCACCAATGCTACCGACGCCAAGGAGACAGCTCCCACACCTGGACCCTACCTATCGACACATCAACTCATGAACCGGGGATCAACGGCCTTACTTCCCGGCGGCGCGGGATTGAACTCAGGCCTGCTGGGGAGAGAGGTAATCACGCTTACTTGTACACCACCGGCCCCGCTTGTCGATGAAAAGGTGGTACGTAGGAACTTGATATTCACGACACTTTTGGAGGACCTGCCGCAACGTAAAGATTTGGTCCGTAGTCAATCGTCCGTCCACAAAACCAGCTTGATAACGTCCAAAAAAATATGCTTGCTAGCGGCGATAGACGGCGAAAGATGATCTGGGAAAGCACTTTGTGGGTCGCGTTGAGAATAGTGATCGCTCGATAGTTCTCACATTCTAGCTTGGTGCCTTTTTTATATATTGGGCATATTACTCTCTCCTTCCACTCCTCCGGTAGCTGTTCTGTATCCCAGATCCGGACTATCAGTCGGTGCAGACAAGTGGCTAACTTCCCGGGCCCATTTGAATAAGTTCCGCTCCGATACCATCTTTACCTGCTGCTTTGTTGTTCTTAAGCTGCCGGATAGCATCCTTAACTTCTCCTATCGTGGGCGCTGGCATGTCCCCCTCATCCACTGTACCGAAGAAGCCATTCCTCCTGCTGCCTTGGTCCTCTGCCTCTGCGCCAAACAGATGTTCATCGTAGTGCTGCTTACACCTTTCAATCACCTCACGTTCGTCCGTCAAGATACCCCCTTCCTTATCCAGACACATTTCGGCTCGCGGCACAAAGCCTTTGCGGGATGCGTTGAGTTTCTGGTAGAACTTGCACGTTTTGTGAGAACGATAAAGCTGCTGCATTTCTTCGTACTCCAGCTCTTCCAGGTGGCGCATCTTATCCCGGAAAAGATGGTTTTGCTGTCTTCGCTTCTGTTTGTAACGCTCCACATTTTGACGGGTTCCTTGGTGCAGCATCCTCGCCCGCGCTGCGTTCTTCTCGTCCAAAACCGTCCACTCCTCGTCGAACCAATCGTCGATTCCGCTTGATAAACCCAATGCAAACTGGGTCAGGAACCGTAATTAGCAAGACAAAACCTCTAGCGCATTGGGTTTGCATTATATTGAAATGGTGTCTTTGGCAAAGTTTCTCGACTTAACATGCGTCTTCATCTGGCAATGGAAATTAATTCCAATTTTATCCGCATAGATGGTGCTGCGATATTAACTTTCTTATCTCACATGCTAGAGGTTTTGTGTCTTGCGCAAAGTTGTAGAACATTAAAAAATATAAAAATATGCTCGAAAATTCAAAGCTCTAGGTTTTCAAACAACAAAGATATAGTGAATATTGTAAAATTTAACTGAAATTTACGTTTTTTGTACTATTTTCCATACAAACGACAAATCCTTCATTTTTAACGCCGTGTATCTTTTAAGTCGGATAATTTGCAAGTTTCAAGGAAAAGTTCTCAATGTTTTGGGTCGATACAAGCGAAATGTTAGCCAAAATAGTGAAAATTACCATGATTTTCATAATCCGGTTTCTCGAAAAGTAGCAAGTTTTAGCAAAAAGTCATTTACTTTCTGAAATGTACCATTTATCATCAATCAAAGGTGAAAGTTTGCCGGACATATAATTTTATATATTTGAGATATCTGAATTCATAGACTACAATGTTTATTCAAGCAGCGTTCGCCAACGCACGGCTTGCTGGCTGCATGCGATGGAAACGATAGAATATGTCTCTTATGCTTCGCTAACTGCACGTTGGCGAACGCTGTACTAATGTATGCACAAAGCTTCTTCATGTTCATTCTCGAACATGTGTGCTTGTGTGATGAGATATCTAGATTCAAAGTATTTTTTTTTAACTCTAACAACTACCAGTTATCTTGCATTGTCGATTATTGCAACAGCATTTGCACGGGTCCTGGTAATTGCTTTTTCTTGGTCTGAGGAAACTGTTTCTGCACTGTCATCACCGGTTCAGAGGTCAGCTAAAGTCGATGGAATACGGCCTCGATTTTTGCAAGACGACTGAATTGTCGAGAATGCTACTCCCGATATTTTCTGATGGATTTGTTTCGTCGCTCTTGCGCCTCTTCGGATAATAAACCAACCGGAATATCACAATGGCTTATGATTGTCGGGCCATGCACCAAGACCCTGTGTACCGTAGGTGGCAAAGTGTAAAAACTATAATAATGGACAAGCTTCTAGTCTCTTCTGCGTAGGTTTCGAATGCCTTTACGTCGATTTCAAGCTTCAGCAGCGCCGTTAATGGCTACTTTCACGTTGCTCCAGCAGTCCTCAAGAGGGGCTTCGGTGAGCTCTGCTTCATCCCGCAATGCTGCGTCGAGGCATTGCGCGTAATCAGTTGCGACTTCGGGCAGCTTCAGTCACTCCAGATTGTACCGTGGCGGGCGTCGGTACCAAATGTTGTTGGCAACGGAAAGTTTTTGGCGCACCTTAATCATTAGAAGGTAGTGGTCCGAATCGATATTTGCGCCGCGATAGGTTCTGACGTCGGTAATGTCCGAGAAGTGCCTTCCGTCGATCAAAACGTGGTCGATTTGCGATTCTGTCTGCTGCGGTGATCTCCAGGTGTACCGATATGGGAGGCTATGCTGGAAGTAGGTACTACGTATGGCCATGTTCTTAGAGGCGGCGAAATCGATGAGTCTAAGGCCGTTGGCGTTCGTTAGCTGGTGAGCGCTGAACTTTCCTAAAACCGGTCTGAATTCCTCCTCCTGGCCGACCTGAGCGGCAAGATCACCGATGACGATTTTGACGTCATGGCTTGGGCAGTTGTCGTATTCCCGTTCCAACTGCGCCTAAAAAGCGTCTTTATCGTCATCGTCACTTGCTCAGTGAGGGCTGTACACGTTGATTATGCTGACATTGAAGAAACGGCCTTTGATCTTCAACCTGCACATTCTTCTATCGATTGGCCAACACTCAATCACGCGCTTCTGCAAGCTGTACCCAGCTCATGTGTATCGACGCAGCTCTG